CTTGTTGGATATGAGATGATAAATAGCCAACAAGGCGCGTAGCGCCGAGTTGGCTATAATCATCTCATATCCAACAAGCGAGAGTGGAATAATTGTTAATTATAATGGTCCTGGTCTATCATACACCAAATGATTCGAAATTTCCAACTTAACATCTCTTGCTAGCCGTCGTCAACTTTTATGTGAGAAACTTTGTAAACACAGTAAACGCCCCAAACCACATGTTATACAACCTACTTCCAGCTTTCAATATTAACACGAGATACCCACTAAAAAATACCAGACTCTTTATTGAACCCTGCTATCGTACCGATCGTTTTAAGAATCCTTCAATATGGCTTCAACTAGAAATTTATAATTTTCATTTGATATTTCATAGCATTACCAGTGTAATTCAGCCTAACGACTGCGATGTCGGTTTTTCAATAAACTATTACATATTAAGTCTTTACCTCCCTCGATAACATCACCTAAACCCTTTTTGGGGCAATTCAAAGCTGATATCCTTCTTCAGCTTCCCGTAAAGTGCTATCGGTTCAGTAATTTTCCCCCACCCGGGAGCGTAAAGTTTTCACCTCATGATCTTGAGGCTGATTGCGAAGGTAGAACATGGCGGCCGTAGCGACCAAACCTCGTAGGAGATATTTGACCTAAAAGACACCTCTTAATCGTTCCATTTAGTTATAACGCGTTGTATTTCAAAAAAATTTTTGTGGAAAGCTTATCAAGAAATCCCGTTGTCAAAATGGTGAGACTTCCCTTGTGTTTTGGAAAAGTATTTTGTTGTATGGTAACCATCAACAGAGTTTACATTTTATGATGGACTAGTAAATTTGGATTTTGGATCGAGCTAAAATGTATCAATTTTATTTGCGAACTATTTCCTCAAATTTTTCTCGTTCTCTTTCGGTGAATTGTTACAGATGCTCTCAAGGAAGAAGCCGGCCGTAGGCCCTGGGTCAGGAAACACAGTGTCATCTGCTAAGGACTCGAAAAAGAAACGCAAGTTGCCAAAATTGGAGGATTTTTTACAGATGAGGGACTATACCGGAGCTATAACTTTAGCAGAGGTATTGAGAATTCAATCCTTAAGTTTCAGTTTTGTAAAAGTTTGATTCTTACCTGGTCAATATGGTGGAGTGAAGTGGAAACAAGGATGTGCTTTGTTTTACCCACAAAATCCCCCCCCCCCTTTCTCCTGGTGAAGACGTTTGGTTTTTCCTCAGAGAGGGTTCAGTCTGTTATCTAAGCTATATTTATTTTTTTTCAATTCTAGTTTAACCGTAACTCTGGAAAAGGAAGTGAAGAGACAAATCTTTGGATTGCATACACAGCATTCCATTTAGGAGATTACAAGAAAGCCATGGAGGTATTTACTTCTTAAAAGATGGAAACTGCACATTCAAATCATTGATCACTTCATAAACCACTTTTTTCTCTATGCCACATGACTAGAATGCATTTTTTAAGCTAAAAAGTAAAGTTGTTAACTGCAAGGGTGAAATTACCTCACTGATAGACCCTTGCATGACTGAAATCAATCTGTTCAGTAGCTTTCCTTGAAAGGTCTTGTAGATCTCCCTCGTACAGAAGTTAAGTTAACCAATATGTCAATAATCTCATAACTGGGTTACAGGAGAAAAATTATTGATAGTGAAAGGAGGGAGGTTTATTTGTTTTAAGATAATTATGGCACTCCATCTATAAAAAACAAGCAGGTCATCTCTTGAGAAATATTGATATATTATTGAAAACACAAAAATGATCTCAGCAAAAGTAAAGGCATTAACTGGTTTTATAATTTTATCTTCATTAGGAGTACCTGGCTCTAACAAAAAGTGAAGCCTGCCATCCAGATGTGTGGGTGAATCTTGCATGCTGTTACTTTTTTCTTGGAATGTACAAGGAGGGTGATGAGATGGCTTTGAAAGGTATGTATTTAAGAAATGTTGTTTGAGATACTGCTACAGATAGAAATGTCTGATGGCATTTTTAAGAATATTTTATTATTATTAGTTTTGAGATTTGGTGGGACTCTGAGGTTATGTATTATTAATTATAATTATACTAATTTGTTGAAAAGATATTTTAAAAATTGATCTTCAAAATATTTTAAAATATAATGATAAATGACTTTCAACTTTGAGCTAACCGCCTCCCGGTTAGCTCAATAGATAGAGCGCTGGACTGTTGTGCAGGAGGTTGAGGGTTTGAGCCCCGGCTGGACCAACACTCAAGGTCTTAAAATAATTGAGAAGAATATGCTACCTTTCTATAGACCACTTTCGTAAATGGCTCCCGGATTAAAATTCTTTTGTTTACATATAAATTTGCCTGGGTGGCCTTGTTCTCCAGTACAAAATTCAAAAGAATATATTATCTCAAGCGAGCTGGGATGGGGTGGGATGGGTGGGTTTGTTGGAGCTTAAACCTCATAGGGGACCCATGTCCTATTGTTTCTGCTCCAGTACTTGGTACAAATCCTTATAAATAAATAAATAAATTAGACTGATATCTTTGTTTTTTCGCATCTTGACATACAGTATTCAATAGATCATTTTGATAATACTATTTGTTTTTGAATCGACAAAACAATGATCAGGTCCAAAGAGTAGACTTCAAAACAGGCTGTTATTTCACCTTTCACACAAGGTAACATCAAATTGTTTTTTATTTAATTCTGACCATGTGTATGTAGATTATTTAATTCCAACCATTTTTGCAGTCAACATACACCTGTACTTAGTAATTGTTCATTTTATCGAGTCATCAGATAAGTCTGAGGTTGCAAAAAACCCCTGATATTTAATTCCTATCCTCCTTATATTGAGCAAGTTATTCAGAGAGAATCATTGATAGTTCAAATTCTGATTAATGGACTATTCCACTGTACATTTCTATCACAGAAGTGGCGGTCATCCCTACAAATGTCCTTCCCAATTGATGTACTATAATTATTTGACAAATTGTCTGCCATCCTTTATTAATAAGATGCATGCGCTCCCCAGACTCCTAAGGCTATGCTAACACCCCAAAACTTGCATATCGAAACCCAGGATCTCTCATTCCTGTAGACATACATTTTAAATACTTTTTATGCAAGTTGCTTTTTATTAATCTATAGTTGTTTGGTACTGTTTTTGCTTAAGTCCACTTGGTATAATTATTGTATCATGTTATGGCAATGATTCATTCTGTATGTATTACTCAATTATTTCTGTATATTTCATTATTATCAATAGTTTAATGACGAAAAGAGACTTATGACCCATCATCAAGCCCTACAAGATATTATTGAGGACCAGGTATTATTAAATACATGAATATAAATCCTAATTTTTTTTGGAAAAACAAGTTTCAGCTTCCAAATTTGATGTACTCTTCTAAAAAAATTCGCCTTTTTTTAATTTATATGAAACAGTTAAGCCTTGCCTCTATCCATTACCTGAGAAGTCATTACCAAGAAGCCATTGACATCTACAAGAGGATTCTTCTTGATAACAGGTAGAGTACAGTAAGCAGATAAGATATTCCATACCATTTGTGCTGGGTAACTTATAAGTAATGACCACTGGACTCGGGGCCTGTTTCTTGAAAATCCCAGTAACTTAACCAGCCTGAAGCCATGTTTTAAAATCACAATTTAAAGGATAGCAAAGCAGGTTCCGACAACTAAACTAGTCCTTTTTGTTTCTTTAGCTGATAGTTTTGTTGTATCATTTTCAAAACTTTAATTCGAAATCTCCATTAATTGAACGAAAACAGAACTTTACAGGCCTGTTACCAGGACTTTCGAGAAATGGCCCCAGGTACGTAATACAAGGCAGATTCATGGGATTAAAGAGTGACCAAGTTAAGAACACATGGAAGTGATATGTAGATTGAACTGTTATCTGCCAGCAGTTGGTGCTGAGGAACTGGCCAACAGTTATTGCTTTTTAGCTAGTAAAAAAAAAATCTTGCAATTAAATTTGCCGAGAAAATCACCAATTTGGCAACACATGCTTAAATTGTGCAGTAATCTTTATCTACAATGCAAATGTACTAAATTTTTTTTTTTGATTGTTGTACTGTTTAGTTTCGATTGATTGTTTATTTTTTTGTAGGGATTATTTGGCTTTAAATGTGTATGTTGCTCTCTGCTACTACAAGCTTGACTATTACGATGTCTCTCAAGTAAGTAATTTATGTCTGTTCAGGCCGTCCTTTTCATGCTAATTGTTAATTTAAGAGAATTTAAAGTTAACAAACTGACTTTTGAATTCTTAAGTCCACTATTAAGATTCCAAATATTTTTGGAAATTACAATTATATTTATCTTTCAAAGAAGAGTTTTTTAAAATGATTACAAAATAACAACCATGGTGGATAGTATAATTTTATCAGTGGTGATTTTATGGGACAACCTTGGATTGCAACTAGTAGATGCATTATGAGAAGTTATGTGCAAGTCAGAATTGTAATGTTTCATTTTTCCTGAGAATGGTTGCGCAGAATTAATTTTCATTTTCTACTTAATTTGTAGGAGGTACTAGCAGTTTACTTGCAACATTATCCTGACAGGTAAACAGACATTACTCTGTACTTTCAAGGTCAAGTGAAACCATCTCAAATATATTAAGTAATATTATATATTAAGGCTGGTTTTCATTCTTGATGAAATCATAATTGAAATGATAATCAGAAGTGCAGAGCAATACAATCTAGTGAAAACTGAATCATTGGAGTCTAAGGTCATTGGATGGCCTGAGAACTGGTATTTTGATTGGTTGGTTCTTCTACTCCTGCTTGCAACTTTGATAATCTATTTTTTACTGGACCATGAGCAATTTCGATTTTCACTATGTCCAAAGTGCTGTCACTACTCTGACTCCAACTCTGACTCTGTGGCTGGTGAAAGGTTGTCCAGCCACTAGTCTGGGAGTTTTAATAAAGAAGTTCTTCTTTCTTGAGTCTCAAGCTATAAATTTGGTTTTTTTTTTAGTGCCACTGCAGTAAACTTGAAAGCATGTAACCACTTCAGACTATACAACGGGAAAGCAGCCGAGGTAATGAATACTACTACTCATTGACATCAACCGGTTTCTGTTTTACTTGTTGTGCACTACAGCCTGTTTAAGCAAGGAAAAGCATTCTTCTGCTGTCTTTCTTAAGCCTAGGAGAGAGCTCAGCTTATTAGAATTTAGGCTGATAGTTTCTAAAGAAACTGTTTGGGGCTGTGTTGGTGGGGGTGACGAAATAATTTGGATATATCAACAAAGTTGAAATGGTAAATTGGCCAATGTAACAATTATAAAAGCTGACGTTTTGAGCATTAGCCCTTCGAAACATCAGCTTTTGTAATTGTTACGGTGGCAAATTTACCATTTCAACTATGTTGATATATCCAAATTATTAGAATTTATGCTGACTTACATTTTGCATCTCAGTGAGGTTTTGATTAACACCCGTCTCTAGCTTTTTTGGTGTAACTTATTTTAACTTGTGTTCCCCATTGTTGTAGCCTGCGTACCTGACACTCTTATGAGCATGCTCAGACAAAGGAGCAGATAAGTATTTAGAGTAAATAATGACTCTACTTTATCTTGAGATCAACTCTTACAAAATGTACCTACTTCCTTATCAGGGTGAGCTTAAGACTCTACAGGAGACAGCAAGTCCTTCTTTTAGCTTTGCCATTGATCTCATTAAGCACAATCTGGTGAGTTCTGCAAACCATGCAAGTATTTAAAAGTATTTAAAAAAAAAGGAAGAGAGCCCCAGCTTAGAAAATGATAAATGGCTGCAAATACTATGAAGGAGTAAGGATAGTCAAGCTCACAGGTCACCGGACTCTAGAGGGGTAAATTTCACCGTCAGTGGTACATTTGCAGACATAATGCCAATTGGTGGGAATTGCAGGCTTCCAGGGAGTATAGTGCCATTTGCAGAAGCATTAAACTACACTAGTCTTTTTTGCAATGGTTTGTGAAAAATCTATGTATTTTGATTCACTTTTTGTCATTCATTGTAGACTTGTGTGTGTGTGTGTGTGTGTTGTTTTTGTTTTGTTTTGTTTTTGTTTTTTTCTCATGGATGTGTTCATCGGCCAGGGGAATTTGTCATTTGGTGGACGTTAGGATTTTTGCAGTAAAGCCTGATCAAGCATTTGATGATGTTTAAACTTTACTTTGCTGTCGGCTTTTACCAGGTTGTTTTTAGAGGTGGTGAAGGTGCCTTACAAGTTTTACCACCCTTGGTGGATGTCATTCCTGAAGCTCGCTTGAATTTGGTAAATACTTAATAATTTCATAAACTGCATAAACTGCAATGTTGAAAATCCCTTCCAAATCTGTTTCATCTAGTGGCTTGCTAATGTCTACCATATTTTTTGTCTCAAATTGTAGGTTATCTATTACTTGAGGCAAGGTGAGAATTAAGGGTTACTTTGAAATTTGAAAATAAAACAGTGATAAGAGCGTGTTTTTATCCTGATTATTAATTTATGTATGCCTATTTTATCAGATGATGTGGTGGAAGCTTATAATCTCATCAAAGATTTAGAACCTACAACTCCTCAGGTAGACTTGAATTTACAATTTTTCTCGTACAGCTTCCTTGTTTGCGTTGGCACTGAAGTTTTGTCTTGTTTCATGGTAGGAGTACATCTTAAAGGGTGTGGTCAACGCAGCTTTGGGACAGGAACAAGGATCTGTAAGTTTCGCTTCTCCTACTCACTGGCATCCCCTCTTGGAGAACATTACTGTGCTTTAGAAGACTGAAGATGTTTGTCTTATTGTTTTAGAGGGAACACTTGAAGATCGCTCAGCAGTACTTCCAGCTTGTTGGTGGATCGGCCAGCGAGTGTGGTGAGTTTTGCTCTTTCCTGTCGAACTTATCAGACAAGGGGTACATATATCTTATTAATTAGACGTTTTTGTGTATAATATCGGTTAGTATTTTTACGAGTTGTGCCGTATTTTAACGAGCCCCTAGGGCGAGTCAAAATACAAATAACGAGTAAAAATACTCAGAGATACTACACAACAAAACGTCAAATAAGAGATTTATTTTCCAACACGCCAAATTGTTATTTCAGTGCGGGCGAATTTCGCGGATATTTCTGGAGAACAAACATCGCGTGATATTTGTACTCGTTTCGCGCGTTATTTGTACTCCGCGAATCACAGTTGGATAATAAATGTATGTTACTGTCGCAGGGGTTTATTTTTGTGCTTAAGAAAAGTGCATTATCATCAGAGTGAAACCGTTAAAAAGTAAGGATTGCTAGGGTAGGCAAACACCGTAGAAGTAAAAATAAATTCCAAACCACTGCGAATTTCTACGAATGGAGAAGCTAAGCGCGGATCGCAGATCATTACGCTTGTAAAGTTTAGGCTTGATAATGGAACCGTGATTTATTTACTTTTAGTGAGGACAGGTAGCTCTCTAGTTTCCAAATAATCACCGTGCATGACGCAGGGGAAAGGTTTTGTCAGAGGAAATCTCTGAGATACATTGCAGAAAGGAAGTCTACAGTTTACAATATTCTTAGGAAAAATGCAGGAGGACAAAAATTTATTGATCTATTTTCTCTTCTTTAAGGTACACTATATCCCACTCATTCAATTTCGAACCAGTTATCGCCAGCTAGTGTAATCTTTTTTTTTTTTCGTTAAGTTTTGGGTGCATAAGCTGTCTATTGTTTTCCCAATATAGATACCATTCCAGGAAGACAGTGTATGGCGTCGTGCTTTTTCCTTTTGAAACAATTTGAAGACGTGCTTATTTACCTCAACTCAATCAAGGTAAGGAGTCAGGTCAAAAGTGAGTCTTTGTAGAATGATAATTGCTGTACTTACGACCGACCATCCTTTCACTCATAAGCTATCGGAGAGGGCGTCTAGCCAGCAAATGAAGAGTGAGAAGAAAATTCCTTATTTTTGTATTCGCCATTTGAACGCACATGATGGGTTTCACTCAACAGATCTCGATTGAGGCACGTGTGATAGACTACGAGTGGACCATGCTTTTCGGAGATATCCGTTGTGCGAGTTATAAAATAATCTGTGAAAAAAGAAAAAACAAAAACTTAAATGTTAGCGCGCCGTGCAGAACTCTGGGAGTGAGGCGCACGCTACGGACTTCGACGAACAGGAGGGACCTGCTCGTAGTCTACGCGTGCGCAAACACTTTTAAGTCTGATGAGCGATTGAATACTTGTATCTATAACATGTCTGTTGCGTGTGACTTACACGATTGGCGAGGATCCTTCTTTTGGAACGTAGTAGCGATTTATGTTAAAGACGAAGTGCATCATGATGAAGATCGAGGTTAACTTTTTCGGAACGCGCCAGCATGGATCCTTTAGAGTCGCGTGATTGCTGCAAGACGAGTTTTGTGGCTAATGTCTTTGCTGTATCCTTTTAACAGAGTTACTTCTACAATGACGATACGTTCAATTTTAACTACGCCCAAGCCAAGGCGGCAGTTGGAAATTTTAAAGAAGCTGAGGAGGTAAATTGTAGTTAAATTCACTGTAAATTATTGTATAGTTTAATATGTTATTATTCTACAGGTAGCGTTAATTATTTCTCCTTCTCGACTGTCTTTTAGATCTTTTTGCTCATCCAGTCTGAAAAAATAAAAAATGACTACACGTACCTGAGCTGGTTGGCGCGATGCTGTAAGTAGATTCAGATAAAAATAAGAATTTAGAATAGTTGTTTTATTTAGCCAAATGATTAGAGGCTTTCGAGAGAGGAAGATTAAGCCTTGGGTGAACGTGAATGCAGGCCATGTTAAGTTTTGTTTAAGTTTTAGGGTCGGGTTATTCGAAAGGGGGTTAATGCTAACCTAGGAATAAAAATTAACATTGGCTTTAATTTTTCATGTAGAAGAAGAGCGTATTTAAGAGCTAAGGTTTTGTTAGGGTTTATCTCCACATGACTCAAAACCAATGGGAGAAAAATACTAAAGAAAAATTCCTTTGTAGAGCTAGAAAACTAAATTAAAACTTTAAACTAACCCCGGGTCAGGTTAACTGTGTCAGTGAACAACACGGCCCTGTTCTGTGAGACTTGATAGGTTAAAAGCAGGATGTGCACATAATTCAGTGCCCGGTAATTGTTACGGATAACAGTTAAAATTATTGCCATCGTTAGTATAAGGAAGGCGTTGGTGCTAGACCTCTCTAAGGGACAAGTCTTTCTGTGTTCCAGCTAAATAAACAAATACCGTCATTGAAAAGTCTCATTATTTTTTGCCTGCAACTAGAGTTTTCTCTCATCAGTAACAAGCTGGAACTCTGTTGAATTTTCTAGACATTATGAACCACAAAGCCCGGCCTGCATGGGAATTGTACCTGAAGATGGAGACATCCGGGGAATCGTTCAGTTTACTGCAGCTTATCGCAAACGAGTGTTACAAAGTAAGTTCTCTGCATGGTTTCAAAGGAGCTATTTTCCACTTTCTGCGCAATCGACCAACTTGACTAGGCCTAAAAAGATACCTTAACCTTGATTTAACTTTTCATTGATGGGCCACTTTCCAGCTAAATCAAATTACTTGGAAAAAAAGTATAAAACAAAGGAAAATACAGAGACACTTTAAAAGAATAGCTCAATCATAACAAAGAATCTGGTTGAATGAACTTTATTCAGTATCCTCTATCAGAGCAAATGTTTATGAGATACGCCCAGGATTCTTCGAGATGATTAAACTTTCGTTACACTTTTTTAACTCGTTTCAGAAAGTCGCTTTTTCTTCCACAGATGGGTCAGTTCTACTACGCCGCAAAGGCGTTTGACGTGTTGGAGAGACTGGACCCTAACCCAGAGTACTGGGAAGGAAAGAGAGGAGCCTGTGTTGGAATCTTCCAACAAATTATCGCTGGTCACGAGCCCAAGTTAGTGTTTCTTTGTTCGCTTGCCTAGATGTTTGCTCGCTTGTGGGAATTATTGGTGTAACCTACAGCTGGACTGTTCGTGAAGAGTATCGTGCTTTAGAGCGATTGTCGCGAAATCACAACAAAAATTATCACTTTTAATGGTTTAAAAATTATGGGCTTGAATTTCGGGCATTCTAATTAACTTGCTCCCGTCACTGGGATTTTTTGGCAATCGTAAAGGGTTTCCGACGAACAATTGTTTCTCTTTGGGAAAATCCTCCTTACAAGTTCCTTACCTCGACGCCTTTTTGATTAGCTCAAGTTTCTAGACTTGATTCTCAATCCTTGCCAACTGCCGTATAATTCTTTAGGAAAATTGATTACCTGACGAGGGGATTCCGCGTCAAATTGCACTTGTAAACAGATATCGCACGAATCGCTTCGCAATTCGTCAGGTCATGAATTTTCCCTGAATCGCATATTTGAATTGAAATAAGAAAAAAAAGAAAACGGCAATCATATTGTTTGTTTTTATCCTGAGCGCGAAACAAGAGATGCGAAACAATATCACTTAGCCCCGTTTCCAACTCGCAATGTGAATTAGTACAGAGGATTTAGTGTTATATTTAGGTGACTCCCTGCAGCCTGTGGGTTTGTTCACTCTCCCCACCTGTTTGCTGGGTTATGTACTGCTTTGTAAGAAATTACCTGGTTATTACCTCTGGTCTTTAATATTAATTATCTGTTCCAGGGAAACGCTAAGAGACGTTCTTCAGATCCTCCGCAACACAGGAAACCCTCAAGTGGAATACATCATTCGTACCATGAAGAAATGGGCAAAGGAGAACAGATTCCCTGTCTCGTAAACGAGCCAAGAGGCTGGCCAAGTCATATAAATTATGTGTACAGATAAAGTTCCAGTGGTCTTTCAGTTTCATAACTGTAAATTTTAAAGCTCTTACCGTGTTCGAAAAAGTCTGATTCAAATTGTAAGCGAAAACAGACAAAGTCCTTTCTTGAAAAACGTTGTTTGAGATTGCGCGGGATGACTTAGAAGAACGTTGTCCTATTGACAGAAAAAGGTTAGGGATAGCACGAAGTTTTGCGAACGGGTAGTTCACTCATCGTGTCTTTGTGGAATGTACGATTTGTAAATATGCATTGATTAAACGTTATTCAAGAAGTCGACTGTGTAGTCTGAGGAGGAAATGAATAGGCAGCCACGTTTGGCATGCACCCCTTGGCTCTTCTCCAAATCCAGGCCTATCCCGAGATTTATTTGGACAAATACCTTATTTTTACTAACACATCTATGGCGAACGCTCGGCTTTAGAAACTCTTTGCTGTGGCCTATTTATATCATCGATCCAAGTGATAAAACCAAACTATTTAACGCTTATGTTGTTTGGCAAATTTTATTGAAATTATCAAATGGCGACTAACTTTAGAAAATGAAAGAACATTTATTGATTTGATGATCCACTTCAATTTGTGGTAAAATCATCTCTTTCCAACTTTTATAACAGAAATTTGTTTTTCCAGACACAAATGTAGTAATGCATTACTAACAAGCCACTGATCTCCTCATCGTCTAAGAAATCTTCAAACCAGCAATGGAAGATTCCAGGGACTGAAAAAAAAAAAAAATAAATAAACAAACAAACAACAAAAACGATAGGATCATTACAAATCATGGACCAATACTCTCTTGATCGTTATCAGAACACCCAAATAATCCTTCCAAAGTAAAGAAATATTATTACTAATTATTATACTGTAGCCAAGCAAGTGTACCATAGCGTTTACCTTAGCCAATGAGCAGCTTGCATAATGTATTAATTAGTTTTTCGAATAGCTTTCAAAGCTGACCATCCTAAATAACTAATAGCAGAGCTTTCTGGCCCCCCTGCAATGCCTTAAAGTGCATGGATAATATAATGTATAACTTTCCAAAAGAAAGAATGGCAGGAAATGAATTGATCAGGTTAGCATTCTACATACAATGGCAAGTAACGAGTGGCTGTAGTTACCTTCACGTCCCAAATGACAAGACGACCATCAACACCAGATGTTGCAAACTTAGTGGCACCTGCCTTGGTTCCACTGTAGATTTGCACTTGACTAAGAAAAGGAACAACAAGGATGGCAACAACTTTCTAAATTGTATTGAACTACTCTTTTGATAAAAGCACAAAAATAAGCCCCCTTCTCCCTTTGATTCAAAGAGGACAGAAGAAATATCTCTGCCAAAACTGTCTACCTAAAAGTTAATTTGGTTATATTAACTAAGTTGAAATTGTAAAGTGGCTACTGTAAATAGTTAAAAAGCTGACGTTTCAAGCGTTAGCCCTTCGTCAGCTTTTTAAATCTTTACAGTGGCCAATTTACAATTTCAACTTAGTTGATATAACCAAATTACCTTGTTACCCCCACTGATGCAGCACCATAGTTTCTTTAGAAACTTAACTCCTTTACTTAAAAGTCTTGCTAAATCCCTGCCTGATGAAGAGAGTGAGACGAGAGGTATCACCTACAGGAAACACTCATATAGAACTGGTTCCTAATGATTACTCTTGCTTAGTTATTGTCACCCACTCTGTGCTGAAATGGAGACAATGGCTGAAGTGGTACCCAAGCTGGTTAAAACCATTTCAAAGAAAACAAATTTGTAGGAATTTCTTACTTGATGGCATTTTGGTGGGTGGTGTGCACTCCTGTGCCAGATCCACTGTCATCAGCACTCTGAGCTTGTTTGTCCATGGTGCGGAACTTAGCCATAGCACTGACAGTTCCAGAGGATTCCTTTTTCTTAGGAACATCCAGCTTCTGGCCTGCACTCAGAGCATCATTGTCATCATGGCTGAACAAGATTGGGATGTAGTCATACCCTGGAATGAAAGATGTTTGCTGAAATCAATATTATTGTTATACATTCACATATGATAGATGAGTAAAATTACAGACTTGAACACCTTGAAGAAATTTGGTGCAATTTTTCTAATTACTTGTACATAAGACAAGTGCCCTGAGGGAAGGTGACCAAGGAAAACTAGCTACTTTGATGGCAAGAAGACTACTTTTTACTAGCAATGATCAAATGGGTCTGATCTAAAGTCACAAAAATGCTGGAATACCAGTAACCATTATTAGACAACATGTAGCAGTCCTTCCCACTCAAGGAGCACCAAGAGTGTCATAGAAACCTAGAGTGTCATAGAGTGTCGTAGCACCTAGAGTGTCATAGAAAATGGCTTTGCAGCTCATGCAGTTGGTGATCTACTAGGTTTGTGAGACTCAAAATGCAAACCATGTTTAAAACACATTGGAGAGCTTCAATATAGACCTTCGGATGCAGAGTTGAGAGCAACCTAAATTTCAGAGTTCTTTCCCCTACAACTTGGGGTCCGAAGTAAGATTTTGACGCTACTGTAAGCATTCACAGTCCAACTGATAAGCTGATGACAGAGTACGCCTACAACAGTTGCATCCACCTACTTTCCAGTCTGTTCCCCTCTCAAAAACTTTTCTTTTAAGTTCCATATTTTGAAATAAGGCAAGGTATCACTTGCAAACATTACCAGCAGTCACAATACTGTTTTCAGTGACCCACACACAAGCTGCAAAAGGCAAGAAATTGCCTTTGACAGTTGCCATTTTGCATTCATTTGCAGCATTCACCACACTGATGCTGGAATCATGACCAACCCAGGCAAGTTTGTTTCCTGAGGCAGAGAAACTTACTCCATGCACCCAACCACCTGCAATAAAGATAGAGATAAATCAATGGACCTAAATCTTGTGATCTTTTTAAATTTTCATGTCACTTTCACTTCCCAAATTCAGATATCTCCAATCATGGTTACCTTAGCTTGGAAAAAATAAATTCAGTTACCATACATTTATACAAAGACCCCAAACTGTAGTTTTAAGCACTTCTTTATGGCTTTGAAAAGCTTTGAACTTAAAAAATTCTGTGCCAGGCCAAAACAACAACCAAACTTTAGAATCTACCCGAGCATACTCTTCACCTAGAAAACAACCTGAAATAAATGCTTTACTACAGGCCAAAATCAAGACTGTTGCATGCATACAAACCTCTGCCATTAGAAAACTCAGACAAACAACCTCCAAAACTGGATTTCTTTCCCCAAATGGTGTCAGTATTAGTCTTTCCATCAACTTCCTTGATGAAAGCAGAAAACACCCTATGCAAGCAAATGATGGAAGTAAGGCTTTCCACAAAATAATCCACATAGACATTGACCAGACCAAATTGATACACATACCACCAAACACTCATTGTGAATGTTGAACACAAGTTCTACCATGAATCCATCAGAGTTAGGAAGATTAGCAATCTTCTTGATATCTTGCCTACCTCGTCTTGAAGTCAGAAGAACCAGCAGCCAGCAATAAGTTGTTTGGATGCCAATCCAGACTATAGAAATTATAATCAGACACAAAAACATCCATTATGGTGTTAAAAAATTAATTTACTTTCAATTGGTATACAGATCGCTTGAATAAATTAACACTTGATTACAGCATTATACAATGGGCTGTTGTAGTACTTCTTTTTTAGTTCTTGACAACATTGCCAATTTGATATTTACATAAAATGTTTTTGCCATTGATTGTCACCCATGCACAGTACATTTAACTATTTGCAATTATTTTTCCCAGAACTCAAACCTGCAAAAACATTTGCTTTATTTTTACAAGGGAATGGTTCTTAATTACTCCACAGATTATTATTGGGTGCTTTCTCAGATACTATGGAAAGGGCTGTCCATAATATAAGATACAAAATGGGTAATAAAGCTTACCACAAGACAGTGGAACGGATCGGCTTCTTGATGTGCTTGCTGACCCACCTACACAGAACAAAGTCTTTGAAATCAATAGTTATTGAATTTAATGTTTGACTAACCTACATATAAGCACTGGCAAAATGCTATGTGTCTTGCACTAAACAAGATCAAATAGTTCATAAATAAGAGTAGGAATATTGGAGAGTATTGTATTACTAACCAGTCATTTTCCTTTTCAAAATAGCACACTGAAATGAGACGGGCACTGCTTCCCACAGCAAACTTGTCCTCTTAAAATAACACAAACTTTATTTTAGAACCCACACGACTAAAAATAGCCTTATCAGATCCTAAAGATTTTCAGTTGCTGCTGTGCTACACACTTCTAACTTTAATAATCTGCAACTTAGATGTAACAAACTCATTTTCTTCCCTATTCTGTATATGCAAGCCTACTCATGAAAATATCTCATGAGATAATTCTTGCACAACAGACCATTTGATAACTTTACCACCTTGACTAAACTGTAATTGGTATGTGTTAGATTTGATTTCACCCCACATACAGGCCTATCACAAATATATCTTAAGTACTAATTCCTACCCAAGGAATGTTGGGATGTCCAAAACAAATTGCCATAATAGCTCACTACAGTTGCATAAGAGGCAATCTAAAAAGGACTATAGTTACCTTTAGGAGACCAGCAGACACAGGTTGCAGCACGATTGATACGCAAAATAACAAGCATAGGTTTCCACTGGCCATCTTGTAGGTTCCATACATAGGCATTTCTGTCCTAAAGGTGACAACAGTATTCAAGATGATTTTTTTGATGCAAGATTGAAAATTCTTAGCAGGTGGTGTTGCAAGCAGAGGCTCAAAACACCACCTAGCCACACAAACACACACTCGGGTCATTACCCAGACTGCAAAGTATGGCTACAGAACTCAACAATATCTTGAGCAGGTAGAGCCATCTTTTAGCTGTGTGCCTGCTGAAAATCCAGAACTGTGTCCATCATGAAGATACTGTACTTGCAATACTTTACAGAAATTTGGGCATGCAAAATAAATCTTATAAAAAGAACTTGTGCATGCACTTACCATACTCGGTTATACTCTGCAGACTGAGTCATTACTAGTTACAAAGACTTCAATGCAATAGGAAGTTATGAGAATACTTTAGATCCGATAAGTGTAAGAAACAACATTAGCTTTAATATATTTCCGTGACATTTTTTAAACTGAAGACTCACCGCTCCACAGGTGACAAGCCTGTTACTGGTTGGGGCCCAAGCCATTCCTGTCACGCGTTGACCATGCTAACCAAAATAAAAATCATAGTAAGCTCAAAATTGTAAAAACCTGAGGAGTTCATTTGTAGTGAAAGCAAAAAAAAAAGAAAAAGCTCAGAACAAGGTATGCAAGTAGCAAAACCTATTAAAAATGATCGACTGCATGCCTAGCTAGGGCTGAATGAACACTGTTGATTGTAAAGGAAAAATTGGCAACAATTCCGTATAACCCCACACTTGATTATGCATTCAGTTCTTGGATAAAGGAAAGCACAGGCAAAACAACAGATTTCCTTTGTGACTACGGCTTTGGTTTTGATTGGTATGGGGTTAGACGGAAATTTTTCCGAAAAATATTCAACAGAGAACTTCAGTGATTAAGCAGCTAGATCAGACACGTATCTGATTGTGATTAATGTTTCTATTCATCGTCCGCACCTCGGACAGTTCACATTCTTTGACCCATTTGTTGCCAGCTCTCTTGTAGATATGAACGGTGCTGTCACTTGGAGAAAAGGCCAGCTCTGCCACGAGAAAAAACATCATAAGACATCAAAATAGTAATTATTATAAAGACAAGACTAGCTTCAGCTGTAGCGGAAGTAAACTTATAAATCGGTAAAAACTTACGACTGCAGTCCTTATTGAAACTGAAGCAAGTTATCGGGCAGATAGAAAGCTCGTGAACTTCCTTATCTGACATCTCTGGCAAATAAAATTGTCAGCAATTGCTAGGAAAGGTAAAATTTGTAAAGAGTTTTGCTACGGACTCTGGTCAGTCTACGCAGCAAGATGGCGTCGAACAATATCCGCCTCCTTCACGGGCGCGGATTTTACAAAACGAAAACGTCTACTGATTGGTTGAAATAAAATTCAGGCCAATCAAAACACACATTAGTTGTAGTATTTTACTTCTAGACAGCTGTACAGAAGTAGTGCACATTCAGCTTCCGGGAGATCGAGAGGTGTACCTTGTATGACCTGTACATAATTATGGCTCATCAAAGTGTGGAAACTCCAAAGTACATCAGTGCCTTTCGTGTGAAAGAGGTTCTAAAATATGAAGATCTCATACCGGTAATTGAACAGGCTTTAGTCAATTTTTCCGCCGGTAAAAGCGGCGGAGTTGTTCAACCCGTGCGCACAGCCGTTGAGGTTGAAGACCGAGGGTAAGGAAACACTTCGCATACTTCTGTATTGTGATAGAAAAACATAATTCGAAACTAGAGTCCTTGAAACACCTATAATTGATAAAATTTTTGTTAGTCACTCGTAGGATTCTGTGACAGGGCTCATTCTTTTTTTTACTTTAGCTATTAATCTAGTCATCAACTAAGGGTAGGGACTAGGGAGGTGAAACAGCTAGGGCCTGCCAAAAAATTCGATAATTTATGGATGTAGGTTGTTGGAAACCTCAGCTTTTCCTTGTTTCTCTTTTCATAGGCTCTAGCCCTTTTCTATTGTTGTCAAGATGTAGCAATTAAGCCATGTTTTGCACCTACCAAACAAGGTATCCTACTTATCCCAGGACCCCTTGCCCCACCCAAGGACAGTAACATCCTGAAAGGTCCATAATTGTAAGCTCTTACCCCAACACCTCTAAGTAAGAAAGTAATAAGGTTTCCAGGTGCTTTAAGCTATTAACTGGCAAGGGTTCAGGAAATAAATTATCTGGGCCATTTATTTTGATTGACTGCTCTAATACCAGTTTTTAGTTTTAATTAGGATAATTATTGAGGTCTTTATCATTCTGCAGATTTTTTCTTGTGATGCCAGCCTATTCTGCCAAAGATAATGCTCTTGCTGTAAAATTGGTGACAGGCTTTCCGGAAAATGAAAAACAAGGCCTACCCTCATTTCTAAGCAATGTTATGGTATTAGATCCCAAGAATGGTTTGCTACAAGCGGTCAGTAATTATAGCTTTAAGAATTTTGTCCATTGCCATAATAATGTATCGTATCAATGGCTTATAGAATTTGAATAAAGATAATGTTTGCTGCAAAATCCTTTTATCATTTTTAGGCTCCTTGAATAAATCGAGGAAAACAGCTTTGATGTTAGTATTTAAACTTTACAGAAGATTTCTTGGCGTATTTACTAGCTAAGACTTTTTTCGGTCATAAATACCGCTAAATTCAATCGTACTTCATCAAAATTTACTGAATTATGAATGACGGAGGCAGGTAAATCCGTAGCACAATGCCTCAATCCAATCGTCCGTTTAATTAACATGCTACTAGTGAAGGACAACTTCAAATATTGACTGAATTGTATTTAATCATTGAAAGATTATGGATGGCCTTCCAATTACAGACATGCGGACTGCAGCAGCATCTGCTGTCGCAACCAAGGTGAGGATTTAACATCACTAATCTTGTGTGAATCAACTCTAACTTACTATTAATTATTCCTGAAGAAGAAAATGTTTCATTTTTACTTCTATTTCAGTACCTTGCTTCTGAGAGTGCCAAAGTTTTGTGTGTCTTGGGATCAGGTGCTCAAGCTAGAAGTCATGTGGAGGCCCTCAAGTTTGTGAGACCATTCACTGAGGTACCTTTATAGAGACTACCTTTGATAATACACCGATACAATTTTTGATACCATTTTGTATATGTTTATGTGTTTGATGTGGTTTGGATTTGATCTATATGCTTGCCACTATTGAATGTATTTATGCTCTAGATTTCGAATGAAATTTGTTAACTAACCCTTTTTAAGGTGAGAATATGGAGTAGAACCTTTGCCAATGCACAAAAGCTTGCAGAGGAGACCAGCGCCAAAGCTTGTGCTACAGTTGAAGAAGCAGCTTCAGGGGCTGATGTCATAGTTACTGCTACCTTGGCAACAGAACCTGTTCTGTTTGGAAAGTGGGTCAAGCCTGGAGCACTGATAAACTGTGAGTGGCCTGAAAGGCATCTGGCCCCGGTTGTTCGAAGGATGGATAACGCTATACGCTGGATAAATCTCTATCCGGTGGATAGCACAGTACATTTTGGTAACACTTATCTGCTGGATAGTAATTTATCCATTGGATAGCATTAACCGCCCTTTGAACAACTGGGGCCTGGAATATTACTCTTAACCCTCTACACCTTAATTGACATTGGTATGCATATTCTCCATAATGTTCTCTATGCATTTCTTAAGCTGTTGACAAGGAGAATTTGTTTAGCAATCAAGTGCTTCTTTAGTTGGAGATCATTTCCTTTATTCTCACGACCTTAATGTTTGATTCAGGGGTGATATTGTAAGGAGAAATTTGATGCTGGTCACCCCAAGGGATCAAAAGGTTAATTATCAGAAACTAATGGAACTTGGGAGCAATTGATAGTGAGTCATCAGTCAATTGTCCACTTCATTTTAAGTTTTGGTTGGCAAAATTGTAGCCTAGTCAGTGATCACTCTAGCCGTGTAAGTGTTTGATTTATACACTCCTTGCCATTTTCTTCAGCACAAATGGGGAATCAGCATCAGCAGTTATGGTCTACCAGCCAAGCTCCAACACATAAGCTATATCTTCAGCAATTAAGTTGAATAATGCAAATTGGATTTTTGATCTCGAGTTTTTGCTAGGTTATTGTTGATTAAGTTATCAATTGATGGTGAGAATGAATAATTACATTACCCATCATGAGCAGGTTTGTCTATCTTATTGATAAACATTGTCTTCTACATCGGTAATTGATCTTCAAATTTAAAGCTCAACAAAACTTGTTGTTGTTTTTTCTTGTGTGTAGCTGTTGGTGCACCCCGCCCTACTTGGCGAGAACTGGATGATGAAATTATGCTCAATGGCTTTATAGTGGCAGACAGCAGTGAGGCAGCTATGAAAGAAGCTGGGGATGTGATTCTCTCCAAGGTCAGACTTTTTTCATAATTCCAGTCGGTGGAAAAGTTAAAGGTATTAACTCTCACAGAATATGTTCCAGAAGCCTTGTGGCTTATTTGTGGCTTGTCATTCTTTGAGTCATTGCCAGTCCTTGTGATTTATTCTTTGTTCTTCTGATAACAAGGCAACAGTGGCTGGGGAGATTGGTGATGTTATTTCAGGAAAATTGGCTATTCCTGAAGGAAAAACACGAATCTTCAAGTCTTTAGGTGAGCTCTGGAGATTAGGTGACAAGAAATTGACAGATGAAGCAAATGCCAGCCCATACTTACTTAAAATTTGGGCTGGAAGAGCTGATGGACAGATTGTAGATGCAATGTAGTTTGTAGAGAACAGACAGCACTGCTAAGTTATTCTTATAGTTGTGCCTTGAAACCAAACTCTTTACAAGATGACAGTCACCTTCATATGGGGGTTTCATTTCGTAGTGCTGGAAGCAAATTTTGTTCTGTTTCTTTTCAAGTTTTATTTATATGAACATTATGTAACAAAGGGTGAGTCCTTCTCAATAAATATTGATATTAAATAGATTTAACTTAATCAGGGTTTGATATTTATATATTAGTTGTTTTAACTTTCTTTATTGTTCTCAATTTGCAAGTTTATCCTGTTTCATGATCTAGCAATTGTCATTTGTTTTCTAGGTATGGCACTGGAAGATGTTGTTTCTGCCAAGTTAGTACTGAGTAAACTCTGTGGATTAAGTGGAACACCTCTTGATGTGATTTAGCCATTTATAATTTTTCATAGTTTTATGGGAATAAGGCCTGAGAGATAAATAAGGTACATTTCACAGTTTGCCAAAGGCAGAGACGGTGAATATTGTTGAATGACCCAGAGACAAAGTAGTATTAGATAAATTTATACCATGCTTTATACATACCAATTTTTAAGTTAATGATTTTATAAAAAAAACCTTTCAAAGTTGTAGTGTTGTCGATGTGTAAGTTGGTTCTTGAGGGACTTATACTTTAAGCCAAAGGTAGGTGTATTTTGTGGATGTTGTTGTTGACGCTCTTTTTGCTCCTACCTTTTTTGTTTGGTTTGCTTTAACATTTGTTTGTTTTATTGTTTGTTTTATTAACTGATTACTTATACTAACAATGGGATAAGCAGACCCTTCCTCTAACCAATAAGATGTAAAACTGAAAAGCATTTGCAACGCGCTGCAAGCCATTTACTTTTATATACTTTAAGCTCCCTAGGGCATCTAGGGATATAAAGCCTTGTTATGATTGGTTGCTGTCAGATTACTTCGGTCTTGGTTTCACGACCCTGAATTTAAAACCACTCCGTCTTCACTGTTCAGAAGTTAGTTTTGATGTCGAACTTACCGAGACAATACAGCGACTCAAGACATCATGTAAAGGATACACTCGTGTCCAACTTGTGGAAAGGCATGAAGTTTAATTGTACCACAGATTCCACATCTTTTGTGTTGTTTTCCCGCAACAATAGTAAAAACCCTTTAGCGAACACTAAAACAGAGGAAACTTTTAATTTTCTTTCTTTTTTTCTTTTTGTTGTCTAGCCTTCTATGATACTACTAGCTAATCTAACACGGAAAACTACTTTCAATAGTCCGTATATCCAAAGGAAAGAAATAAGTCTTAAAAGTTCTTTTTGTTGGTCACGTGGGATATATCGTCAGTCTTTAATGACGTCCTTTTTCTGAGGTTCAGGGACTTCTACTTGCACAGACTTGCAGTAGTCGATCTTCCATACCCTGTCCCTGTTGCAGAAAAAGAACATGTAATTCAGTCAGATGACTATGCGCGTGCCCGTGTCCACTGATCAAAAACTAATTTTCTATTGGTTAAGCTGTGATGCTTTCTGTGATTGGTCGAGACAATTTGCAGTAGCTTTGAATGGTACCTTGAAAGAAGTGGCTCTCACCAACTTTTAATCGATTTTGAACATTCGAAATCTCGTTAGCCTTTTCTTATGTGTCTCAAAGTTTCATATTTCTTTCAAACCTCTTTAATTCGGGGATTTTATCCTGTAGCCGATTTCTCTGTGAAATGATAGCCGGATTAGCCTAGAGTTGTAGTTAGGAAGGAAGAAAGTCCGTATGATATCGTTACAGTTTGTACTGCAGTGTAGAGGCTGATTTATCAACAAAACGAGTCGTCACTACTCAAACAGAGTATCCAATTAAAAAAGTTGTTAAGCTCAAATGTTTAGTCGGTCTCGGATTTTTAAACAGGGATCTCGGTGATTCGCTAGTTTCGAGTTTCACCTTTGGCCACCCCACTTGTGTATTCCCGCGCTTCAGGCAGGTTGACTATTTTTTTTTTCCTACCTTGAGTATGTGATTACTTCAGTTTAGGTTTAATACCCACAATTGAAATGCGGTCTACCTGATGTAAATCAGTCAATAGGTAAGTAAATTTTCTAACCTTTTGTAAAAGTGGAAGCAGCTTGAAATGCCGGTGATGTAATCTCGCTTGTCCCTATCCACCTTGAACTCGAAGTTTTCCCCGGCCTTGTTCAGTGTGTGGGACTGGTGACAAGCTTCATGGTCAAAACTTCTGTCATTGCAGCATTTAAACTTGTAGCGCCGATCTCCAAAAAAAACGTATTCTGCTTTTACACCTATGCATGAAAAAGATACACCAAAATAATAACCAGTTAATAATCATAATTATAATTTTTCTTCTAATAAGGCGGCGTTCATTTGCATTCTTGGACTCTATCCCCCCTAGCGATCCCCCCTCTGAATTGTTGCTTTGCAGCAAAATTTCCGTGCATGAAATGTTGGGCGACGATCTAGGACTCTATCCACTTTGCAAGAGCAGTGATTGTTAAGTTTCAAAAGAAAATATCGACAAACATTCCAAGAGGTCTAGGAAGCGGCCTCACCTGCTAAAAAACCATGATTCGGACAGTTAAAGAAGATGCCATCTCTTGGGTCGTTGGCGAAATTATGTTCCCAGAAGCAGTGTTCGTAAGAGGCCTCGTTGTACCCGCAACCAAACGCCCAGATTCGGTCATGATGGCATTCACTGTAGTCGCTCTTCATGTAGATCAGAGTCTGGCCTGAAATTTCAAAATTATTGTAGTTTAACAGAGTGAGATACTTTTGGCAATTACTGTATTTAATCAATAGATACCGTGTTTATAATTATGGTCAGAAATATAAACTGAGGTAAGGGAAGCAAGAAATGTCAGCTGGTTCAATGATCTTCAATCAGTGACACATTCGGCTTTGGGTGTCTATTGCAAGCTACTAATTGTGAAAACTCCCCGCTGTATTCCAGTCCACTATTTTTTATTCTTCATCTTCTTTCTCTCTCCTTTTTTTGTTGCCATTATTATTTGGTTTTTGTCCCCTTGCGTTCTTAACAAATCCTCAGCAGCTGTTCCTCTTGCGAAAAGGATTATGATGTAAGAGAAAATAGGCGCTCTTTGAACATCCTATATAACTGGGAATTTTGGAGAGGGGATTCTATACCTTCCCTGCCGCAAAAGAACTAGATCCAATGCTGAGACGCATGCGTGAAACCTTACCTTTGGGACACTCGAAATCTAGAGATTTTTTCCACTCATTAGCCCACTGGACACCGTCTGGCCTGGATGAAGAACAGGGCATAGAAGTTGGCTGTGATGGTGGTGGACGTGTGTGTTGCGGGGGGTAAGGTCGACGTGACGGATAAGGACGTCTACGATATCTTCTGAATCTAAACCTCCATCTCCAGCGATGTGGATCATTTTCGGGTCCAGGTTTCTCCTTTTCGTCCCCGGGGGCATTGGCAATCTTAGGGTCTACGTCGAGAAGTACGGAGCCTTCTGGGCTCTTTTTGACGTCAGTCCCTTTGCCGCATACGCAAGCAAGCCCCAGGACCACGACTAGTGCTAACAGAATAGCTGCGCGCATGATGTTATCCTGGAATTCATAAATTTGCCTGATCAGTAATGAAAACCACTAATTACAATTTCCATTGCTCTCAGTCAGTTTCGGCCCCAGAGTTTTAGCTTCGAGTTCGACGCCACTCCACGTCGTTAGACATTTTAAAGTCTTTGCTTTGCTTGGGTTCGAGCAGCTGTTCGTAAACGCCGAGGGCTCTGAATGCGTGAATATCGATATTTGCATATTTTTCATTAGTCTTTAAAACCTTACGAGCGCGGACAATTTTCACAACTAACCATAAAGATGAACTGTCAAGTTTAGGTAAACAGACCGGATCCATGAAGGTAATTTGAATTTAAATAGCTGCCAGATAAAACTTTAAATACCAGACGGCAATAAGCGCATTCCTCTGAAGGCCAGTTCAATTCTGCTTCGCTGTTCGTATGTTTTTAAGAATTAAATTTACCTGTACCAAATTCATGCTGGATAGAAATCTCTTCAACGTAAAACAATTAAAACTAATGCACAACTTGGTATGGCTCTTTTTAATTTACTGACGTTGAAAAGATAGACTTTATCACGAACTGAATTCGTGGTCTTTTATGAGGATAAAATGCAACCTGCAAAGGAAGGATGTCTAAAAACTCATGGCCTCAACGAGACAGGACGGCTTTCCAGACTGTCTCCAACAAAGTTTTGTTTACTCAAACATTTTACAATGAATAAAAGTTCAATAATTTAACATCTGGAAAGAAAAACTGGCAATGATTAATGGTTTTGTGCAACCTAAATATATTGTAATTCACCCCATTGGAGAAACGAATTACAACACGGCCAGAAATGGAATCTGGATATAGGACGAAAAATATATATTTGTGAAAATAACTTTAGATGCGTGGAGGAGTCCTGGAATTTCAACTATTTACTGTCTCTTTCAGTCATATTGTGATCCCTCGACAAGAAAGGGGGACGAATTTATTTCTAGCGGTGCCCTAAATTGCAAAGTGTAAGAGTCTGCGCAAACTGAACAAAATAAACCCGCGAGAATTATTCATTCTTGATGCCAAGAACATACCTCGTGCATCAAATAGTGTTAGCTGTTTCACCCCTAGGGGACAGAGGAATGAATATAAGAGGGCAGAGTTGAAAAAAAAAAAAAGCTTGTCTTACGCTTTGTTCATGGGAAAATGTGACGTGGCATTTTCACATCATTTCAAAGTAATTGCCGATGGGGTATTTCAGCTCCACGTCCATTCAAAAAAGCTACCGATCGAGTACAGACACCCACTGTGCGGACTCACCTTATTGATGAAAACACAGTTTTGCGGTAACTCTACACAGGTGCTACGCCACCAGATTGTAATGTTTTCCGAGCTGGGTATAGGTTAAGAGAGATCAGAGTCTTTCAACGGTATAAACTTACCTTTCTCAACTAGTTACCGAAACAGTGTGCGAGAATGTAGAGTCCCAGAAACTTTGTAAATCTGGCTTAGCAACAGATCCAGGCTCTACCAGATCAAAAGATTGCGGTGAACGCCTTCATAATTGCGTAATATTTTATGCATCCCTGTGCTGTAAATATTGACTTTAAATGTATATGAAACAAACAAGCTACATACCTTGTAATTACTTTTTTCTTTTAAAAGCGCCAGGCCTTGCGGTCAGTTGTTTGGCCAATCGATTTTCACTTGACAATGTTTTCGTTCTAAAAGCTAAGCTACATTATGATCACAGCATCTGAGAATTTCTCTTTCTCTCATTTTTCGCATTTTTTCAGTTACCTTTCGATCAAAATAACAAAGATGAAAAATAAACGTGCCGGTAAATATGTGTAAGAAAGCTGAAAAAGTCACTGCAGCTAAATGTAGTTTCCTGCCTCGGAAGTAACTTGGGACTCATTAGTTCTACGCTTTGCTTCGCTTTTTGATTGGTCGAAAATTGTGCTCCCTTGTAAGAGGCTGTTTGCTTTTCCCGCGCTTAGGCAGTTTGGTCGTTTCCACTTCTTAATCCTTCACACCCTAACGTCAGTATGCACATTCTCCATACTTTTCTCTATACCTTTCTTAAAGTGCTAACCAGGAGAATTTGTTTAACAATCAAGAACTTGTTTAGTTGATGATCATTTCCTTTATTCTCCTGACCTTAATGTGTGATTCAGGCGTTATATTGTAAGGAGAAATTAGATGTTAGTCACTCTGAGGGGTCAAAGGGTAAATGAGTTTTCATTGGCTGCTAATGAGGATTTTTTTCGGCTTTGGTTTAACGACACTCAGTTTTTAAAGCGTTCTCAACATGCTTAGTCCTGATACAAAATGAAATCAATCGACTGAGTGCGCAGTATAGTGGAAAACTACTCGTCACTGAAGGAAAAGAAACGAGTTCCATAGACATTTTGTTAACTTATGAAGAGTTATCCATGACGCGTTACAAGGAGATGTTCATTCAGTTTTCTGTTGGATCAATGTCAGTAATCTGAGCAAAAGCACACCCGCCCCCCCCTCCTCTAGCTCAACATTTACCCTTACTAGTCATCAGTTGGTTGTTGTTGTTGGGTTAGGGGAGGGGTGGGTGCGCAGTTGCTCTGAGACTGACATTAATCCTCTCTATTTTTATCCTAATGATATGAATTAAAGACTTGCGCGCGCCTCTTATTGGCTGAAAACGAGCGCATTTTTTTTTTGTTACACAGGTTCAAAGTTGTAACACGAGTGCAAAGTTTTACTGTCAAAGTATAGTCTGTCTTGACTTTGTAACAACATAATTACGAGTGCCATTTAGTGTAAACAATTAAAGCGATTGTAAATTCCTCAAAGACTGCAAATTGCACTCGCCCACGCTTCGTGTAATTTTGATATCTGACAAATTTTCTCGTGTTTATTAAGGTGGCTCGTACCAGTTTCCTCGCGCGGGGAACAGGTCACTCTTGCGTGACGCGCGCGAGAGAAACGTGCGAAAGAAGCGCGAGATCAAAAGCTGAAAATTCAAAACAAAGATGGCGGCGCGTGGAATTTTTTCTACTTTTGTGAGAAGTTTACCTAAGAGCTTGTATTTGATGTGTTGAGCGGCCACTATGAATGCAGGAGATAGAAACTAAGATAACAAAGACGATTTTCGGAGAAGTAAAGGTTGCTTCACTTCACATTTAAAAGAAATATTCAACCGATATGAAATCTTGCGACGGCGAAAAAAGAAGAACTCAATTGAAGGATAATCTACCTGAAGTGGAAGAAGACTTTGAAACTTCAAGGAAAATAATATGATATAGCCAGAATTCATGCGTAGGATTTTTAAGATGAGCTCGGGAGGCTGTCTTTGACGGCTGTTTAATGATTTTCTTAGCAGTAAACGTCTGTAAACATCAGATCGTAGGTGCTCGCGCGAGCACACGCAATTGTCAGCGGTAGCTAAAACAGATCATGAGCAAATATCTATCTTAAAGAATCCAGATTTTTAAATGCGCGAGAACGCGCGTGGAAATTGATAAACTCACGAAAGCTATTGCATGAAAACAAGTACGGTGACCCCTTCTTTTTATTGTTCCAATATGATAATAATGTCAAAAGGAATCATCAGAAAAAAACTAGAAAATTCTACGGAAGTAAACTTGCGATGTGTGAAAATTGCCCTTTTTGTAGATTTTCTGAAATTCCGCTCCGTATAATTTTTTAAAAATCTTTGTGCATTTTCCTTTTCAAGTGCCAAAAGCAATCACTGAAAAAAATCAGGGGGTCACCGGGTTAGTTTTCGAATTATTTAAGCCACAAGCTAAAAAATGCGTCTGAATAAGCCTATGAAAGCGTTGCCATGGAAACTGCTGGTAACGAAATGACACTTAGTTTTGGATAACCAATGATTATGTAATTCAACCCCGTAAAAGTGTTCAACTGGCCTTGGTCAATCTTTCTGTTGTATTCTTCCAAAGTTACGAAACATCAAAAAGATGAAAACCGGTACGAGCCACCTTAAGGTTACTGTGTTAGAAACTGTACGTTACATTTATTAGTCTTAGAATTGGTGACATCATAAGTGATTTCGTTTGTCTATTATGTAACCAAACAGCATGTATGCAGCACGTGTTTTATCGCCCCATATATGGCGCTGTTCCACGTGCTTACAATGAGACGTGGTGTGAGTGGGAGTTAACTGAAGTGTAAGAGCAAAATTGAATCAAGCGAATAAATAGTGAGTACAGCTTTTGCACGTTTTCTACAACTGCATCAATATCAGGTCAAAATTTTCAAAATTTCGCTTTTTTGCCCTTTAGTTAGAGAAAGTAGTGAAGTTCAATTTGCCTAAAAAAAAAATGTAAAATCTCACCAGATATGGCTGAAAGAAAGTTTTAGTGGAACCTGCACCGAAGAGAGAAAGGTATCATCATCGGAAAGGCCTCCAGCAGAGTGTAGAAGTTTGCCGCGGACTTCCGTCCGGAATCTCGAATTACATATTTTGTTGACATCGCATCTTGCCCTGCGCGGCAAAAAGGAATTTCAAGCAAAACGTTGATAAATTTCTAGCAAATTTCGCAAAACGTTGGTAAATAAGCTTTAAAGTGATAAATAATTTTGTATGGTTTCTTTAAAAGTGGCGCGCGTAGGTCTTATCACTAAATTGCACTCGAAATCATTTTATTGCAAATAAACACTTTAAAATTTTTCAGTCTACAAATTGCATTCGCCCGTACCAAGTTACACTCGAATTCATGTTATTACCCATAACAACAGCAAAGCAGCCTTCTGCTACAAATTAAATGAAAATTACCCAACTAAACTTTGACAGGCTTTTATGGAAATGATATGAGAATGAAACTGGAAATATGACTCATCCGTCTGACTTATTCTAATTTCGTCGGACTTGCACAGCTGCGGTGGACGGTGTCTTCGACGTTGTGGACATTACTAAAACTTTCTTAGTCTTGCGTTGTGACAGCTTTTGTTCAGTATTCGTTTGGAAGCTAGAAGAACGGCGTTATTTTTAATAATCGGTCTAAATCTGATTCCCAAAACACGAGCTCTACCTTCTTTTTTTTGTGTTGCTTTTTAATTTTTTCAATATCATCTTTTTATAGATATGTATAACTGTCTAATTTTCCTCGTTTTTCGTTTATTTTTACCTTGTTTCAGTCTCTTTGCCAATCGAGATGACAACAAAGGCTTGAAACCGAAACGAGGGACCATATGACGATACAAGATTGAAACTAAGAGTAATGTTAAGGCACTGTTCGTGCCCCATATTGTCAGTCCTTTAGTTTATAATTGGCTTAATTGTCTCCTCTGAAAGATGCATTACCGGCAAAAGATTATGATCTCTTTGTAATAAATGTTAAACATGCATCTTCCAACTGACAAGCTTTCAGCTTAAATAAAATGTTTGAAATTGAAATTTGTTTAAAATGTCAGTTTAATAGCCAAATTAAATGTATAACAACATATCCTTAATTTTAGAAACTGACACGAATTATCACCTGAAATACGTGTGAGATCTGGCACTTGTGCAATTTTTGACGGCTTAGGGCCTATCCGCACCAGCGACAAAATTGTTTTATTAGGAAAACAGACGACAATTCACAACCGAATACTTTACCTAATCGTGTAAAACAACGCGGACGCATTTAGAAAGCGTTTAAACAGCTGGTTGTATGCTAAGATCAGTTTATTCAGTTTGAGATCGGCAGGAAAACCGTTAACCACAGAATTTTTCATATGAAAGATCATTTGAGGTCTCGAGAATTATATCTAGCTCAGTGAAGAATGGTAGTTATTGAAGTCCAATCCGTGTCCTCGTCCATCACTAACGCCGTTTTAAACGCCTTTTCAGCATTTACAGGTGTCGTTTTGAACATTATAACAATTCGAGCCATAAGGAAAACTTCCTCTTTACCAAAAAATATAAAGACATTGCTGCTGAGTCTTGCCTTTTCTGATCTTGCTGTTGGTTTTGTTGCCCAGCCATTATGGATTGTAAACGTGTCGCGGAAGATGGATACCGAAGCGCTATGGATCATCCAGTCTGGACTCGCTAACGCTTCGTTCCTGGGTATCATGGGTCTGACCTTGGACCGATTCCTAGCTGTTCATCTTCACCTCAGATATCAGGAACTTTTGACTCACAAGCGAGTTCTTCGTCTGGCAATCTTATCATGGGTGTTAAGTGCTCTTATTTCGTCCCTTTTGTTGTTGGATCACTGACAACATAAACGAGCTTATCAACATCACATTCATCTTCTGGAGTCTTTGCCTGACTTTCTTGACTGCTATTAACGCCAGACTTTACTTTGCAGTAAGAGTCCATAAAAAAAAAAAAAGATTCACGCTTTAAATTTACCACTAGCAACACAGAATGGTGACTTAACAAATGTCTTAAGGCTGAGGAAATTCGCGGCCAGCTCATTTTATGTAAATTTTGTGTTTTTGATTTGTTATTTACCATTTTATTGTGGTCTTCTTTCCAGGACATTCTTTAAGGAAATCTTTGACAACAACCAAATTTGGAAGGAACTGTTTCTTGACTTTAGATCACTTATGTTTATGAATTCTTCTTTGAATCCTATCATTTATTGCTGGAGAGTGAAAGACATTCGACACACTGTTAAGGACATGCTGAGAAATACATCCTCTAAGACTTAATTGCGGATAATCAAGAACACATCGTATATCACCTACCAATTCATTTCTATCGACATGAGATATTCTTTAATTCCCCAGCGAGTTCAAAATAAACCTTCCATTTATTAAAAGGGTTATCATTTTCTATTAGTAACAAATGGGAGGACATTACAGTATACCGTTCTTAAAATTCGGAAGTTAGTTACCGTCCAAATCTCAGAATTTTGCAATTGTCTTTACGGGGTAATTTTTTCTTGACTGCTAAGGATTTCCGAGCGTTGCTGTACTTGATACGTAATTTTCATCATCTCTAACCTTGTTAACAATAGTTCTTGTCTAATTAGTGCGCGAGAATTTCTACAGTTAATGTAAAAAACAGCCTCGTTGATCACAAATGATATTTTATAGAACTAGCACACTTTTCTGTAACCCATTCTTTGTGTTTTCCATAATTACACCTATTCTTTATTGCAATACCTTAGTTTTCTAAATGTAATCAACCAAAAAATACGTTGTTTTGCTCCACCGCGAGTAAAATTTAGTTAAAATCTTAGTTAATCAAAGCTGTTTTTGTTCACTCGTAAACTCATGATTCCTGAGCTTTTCACGTCCACCGGTGCTTTTACAAACCGGCTTTCAGTGGCTCACTAGTTCTTCTTAGATTTCTTGTACTTCAGTGTGCAACTTTTCACCTTCCAGCGGCGATCACTGAATGATGTAAAAAAGTTTAAAAAATTAACTTCCGACAACTGGCAAGATGGCATCGGAGACTGCGGTCAAGGTGTATTTATAGCGTTTATTCCTATTTGAATAAATACCTCAGATATTAGATAACCTGCACTTTATTGGTTAGCACACCCTTGACCGCAGTTAGGTGATCATCCTTAGTTTTCATTGGATATAAGTGAGCTCAGTTATGTAGAGCACTTGGTCTGGTTCGCGCATTAATCTGTAATATTATATGGAACCCCAATGCACAACATTATTCGACACCACCGCCCATAGTCATCGTTCCCCCCCCCTCTATTATAACGACCAGCTTTTTGCTGTTCTTAATGGGGGAGGGGGGAATTAATTAAAGAAATTGTCTTTTCTGGTGAAACGCCCAAAGGGAATTTTTTTTTTCCATTGGCATGATCGAAACTCACTTTCATTTTGTCTTTTCCCACTTAAGATTTCACTTTGAATCTGTTTCAGTTAGCCAGAGCTATTCACTTACTTGAGAAGGAAATCACTTTTGATTCCTGACAAATAATATCTTCTCTTGCTACGAAACACCAAAATTGTGTGAGCGTCGTTCAAGTAGCCACTCCATTTGCACTTCTTTTTTGAGTAGTTTTGGTTGTGAGAGCACTGGAATTTGAAGCGGCGGTCCTTGTAAATGTTGCTGTAAATGCTGCTAATACCTTCAAGGAAAAGAATAGGAAACGCACCAAGATTGTAATAAAAGGTAAACGAAACGAACCAGGTTAAAAAAACGATACTGCTTTATTTTAGGGACCGATCGTAATCAGGCATCGAAGCGGGCAATGTGGACTTGTCTTTCTTCAAAAGGCGAGGTAAATACCGGGTAATAATACTGAAACGAAAATGAAGGGATTTATCTGTAAAACTGAGACAAAATGCAATTTTATTTCCCCCCCCCTTTTTTTTTTATCTACTTCAATCAAGTTTTTCAGTATCAAGAAATTGCGAGGCAGCAATATTTTTTCTGAAGTTTTCGTCAGATAATCCCCGGGTGCGAGGTTAATATAGGGAGATTCACTGGTGAATATTATTAATATTCACGAGTGAATATCATTCAACTCTGTAATCACCATAGTATACCTGTTGTTTAATGCGACTGGTGTCAAATTTGTACTCTCATTGCTTGACGGAAGGTGATCAGAGATTCCTGTGCTAAGTCAGAGAGCGTAGAAAGGTAGGACCATAACAAACATTGATTGCTTTTACTACTCAGCGAGAATGAAAATTCCTTTTAGCCTAAAATTCTCTCATACCTGTAATAAAACCATCATAAGGACACTCGTACTCGAAAGATGCCTGGAAAAAAGTAACATAACTCGACCACTTTGCGATCTTGCACGCCACATTGTCCTTGCATTCAAATATCCATCGTCTATCGCCACTTGCTTGACTATACTGAGCTGTGATAACACCGACGGACCTTCCTGGAAAATGTATTTGAATGATCAGAATGTTTTGACTGACAGAAGCAGGTGTTATTTGTCAGATGAGATCGGCGATGGATAACGCCGTGATTGAATGAAAAACGACTCTATTAAAGGCCTCCATCTCATACTGAGATTGAGTTCAGTCCGGGCTGAAGTTTCAGTCTGGGTTTCAGTCCGGGCTGAAACTTTGATCCTCAACTGGAATAAAGTAATCATTTGGTAAGACTGCACACGGAAATAAGCGAATCGGGTTTAATTATCGCGAGAAGAAAGAGATAAGTTTTATATTACCTAACGGGCAAGTGAACTGGAGCGGTCCATAACCGTTATTGTTGTTATTGTTATTGTTGTTATTGTTGTTATTGTTATTGTTGTTATTGTTGTTATTGCTGTTACAAACCACGCGTTTTACCAATCCCCAATTGTTGTTGTTGTTGTTGTTATTGTTGTTATTGTTGTTGTTGTTATTATTATTATTATTGTTGCAAACTATCCGCTTGAATTTTGATTTGCCCTCGTCTTTGGCTGCCGTCACTCCAGAAGCCAGTAGGATCAACAGAAATCCAGCCACGACGACAACCAAGGAATTAGAACAAGCCATGACAGCAACTGGCCAATCTTCTAGAAAATAGCGATAAGTTTTTTAGTATTACGCACTCAAAGGTTTCAAAGAGCTGAGCAGTGCTTAAAATAACGATGCCGATGAAAAAAAAAAAAAAAAGGGAGCAGAAAAGGCGCAGAAGGTGAGCGCACCGGACCTCTTGCGTTCCTTTTTTATCCTTGGCCCAAGTTTGTCAGTTATTATTGACAACCTATTTTTGAATTAAGCAAATACCTGTCAAGCGCTTATCAAAATTTATTAGCCGTAACAAATTAATTAAACAAGTGTCTCATTCCAAAAGTTCTAAGATCACAGAAGGCGCTACCTCCGAATTGTTTTCCTCACACATTGCAAAACCTTAGCAACCTCTAAATATCTTTGCCGTTGCATATATAGCCCTTTAGTTCATAGAACTTGACTGTTTATTTTTCCCCTTTTCTGTTTTAAAGCACGTATTTCTTGCCAGTGGAAGTAGTTTTCAGTTCTTCGAATTTCTCACCATTTCAACACCCGTCACGACGGACCAGAAAACTTAAAAAAAAAACGATCAGAGGTGTTTGGTGAAAATTTCCCGCAGAATTGATATGGCCCTTCTCTGGCATAAAATTTAGTGAGATTTACATACTTAAAATGCATACGTATTTGCTTGGGATTATGTCATAATTCGTTCAGTTCTTTGAAGCATCTTACGAGCAATTTACACTACTGTTTTTTTTTTTTTTTAAGTGGTGCTTACTAGCCCCCAGTGTACTCGCTTCTCATCACAACCATTTCGGCAGGCACTGGCATGATTTGTTTTGAGCAAAGTATCATTAGAGGACACGGTGGCTTAAATATCAGCGCAAGGATTCTGGGTCATCTGGGACAAATTTCATTCTTTTGCACCCTATGCTTAGCTCCATGTTCTCAGGTAGATCCCAGAAGGAAAATTACAACTATCGACGAAAGCCCGTAAAAAGTTATACGTACCTTTTGTGAAAGCAGCTGATGTGAAAACCTTTACAGTCACAAAAAAAATACTTCTGAACGTGACCCCGAAATGAAGTTACTTTAATTTAGTTCCGTGAGTTTTATTGTCATATAGGAATGACACGTATTCTCTCAAGGTACACAATACGTTTCTAAAAGGCTTGTTTGGGTAAACAAGGCGGACCACTATTAGCTCTGGATCCTTCACACAACTTTGCGAAAGTTTCTAGAGACTATCTTCCATGTTGCAGTAACCATTTGTTTAACAATGTAATGGTAGACGTGTAAAAACAAAGTTCTTTGATGAAGAATCTTTTTTTGTGGTTTTCCCGCGCACACCAGCCTATTGCGTCCTATTGCGTCCTATTGCGTCCTGTTGCGTCCTATTGCGTCCTATTGCGTCCTATTGCGTCCTATTAGTGTTAAACAAACTTTTTGAATTTTTCAAAACTTAGTTAGTGGTCCGCACGTCATGACCTCGGGCCAAATATTTTCCCTTCTGCCTCGACCTAACTCAGTCAATAAGTACATATTATTGTCCGTCATCGTCATCATCATCATTGTCACTTTCATTGCCATCTCTTTTATGAAGAGTCCAAGAAGCAGCCTTTTTATCACCCATTATATCTACTGAGTTATTGTCATTCATTTCATTGTCGAATACAGAAATTTATCGATGTGTATCAAATTTTAAGCGTTCTCACATTTTGGTCACCAATCATGTTTATTGAGTTATTTCCATTTATTATTGTCGAGTACAGATATTTATCGATATGTGACAAATTTTAAGCGTTTTCACATTCAGCAATTAGCTCGGGATCAATTGTCGTCGGAGCAACAGGAATAGGAGCATGCGTTGTCGGTGGTTGTGTTGTGGTCGGCGGTTGTGTTGTGGTCGGCGGCTGTGTTGTGGTCGGTGGCTGTGTTGTGGTCGGTGGCTGTGTCGTCGGAGCCTGGGTTACCGGAGCAGGAACTGGGGCAGGGTTTGGCACAGGTTTAGGGATGGGAGGGATAGGAGGAATTCTAATTCTAATACGCGGATACCGGAACCTCCATCCATCAGTAGAGCTGATCAGTACCCCAAGAACTGCAACAGTCGTGTAAACAATCAACAACCTGCACATCGTTTCCCTAAGAAAAAGATCACCGTATTGATAACTAATAAAATTAAATTTGAAAGGGGATTTAAAAAAGTGCAACGCCAAAAGGTTTGTGCTGCTCAACCATTAAAAACTCGATTACTATCAATAGTTTATAATATTTTGTTTACAACTGATATAAGACATGTATGTGTGCAGTACTAAGAAAAACGCAATTATCCTGGATTTTTTAATCAATTGTTGAGTGTTTCTGTTACCAATAATTATTATATCAGCAAACGACATACTGCCTATGCATATTAATGACATAATCTGATTTGAATCATTTTCTAGAGATTTCTTTGGCATATATTTTAGTTTGCATATGTAGATGTGTAACAAGATAATTAGGTTTTATCAATTGAGATGATAATGTTAAGTGGCCACTGTAAAGATTTTATATAAAGCGGACGTTTCCAGCTAGCCCTTCGTCAGAGCGAATGAAACATTCATCGAACACTCCAACGATCGCAACTTCAGCTTTAAAACTCTTTATAGTTGCTGATTTGCATGATCAACTTAGTTGATAAAACCAAATTATCATGATATACATGCCCACATAGGACCACAGTATTTAGAAACTTACCCCCTTATATATAGATGTGTGTTCTGTTGGAATTTTTTGAGAAATTAGAATAGTTTTTATTAGAAACTTGCCCCCTATATATATAGATGTGTGTTCTGTTGGAATTTTTTGAGAAATCAGAATAGTTTTTATTAGACACTTGCCCCCTTTATATATATAGATGTGTGTTCTGTTGGATTTTTTGAGAAATTAGTAAGAACAGTTTTATTTAAAGTGTAGCAAAATCGAGAAATAGACGTTGAATTAATTATCATTAAACTGAAACTAATTTCGGCATTTATACAGCTGGTGTCGCTATCGCGAGAATTGATGAGCATTGGGCATGTACTGATCTTATTTGTGACTATACTAGATTACCATTAAGATTGTAACACTTTACGTTTTTTCTTAAAAACTCATCTTCATCAGAAGTTTTGGGATGATTGAAGACATAATTTAAAAAATATTCTTGCAAGGATTAATTCATTCCTATCAATATTAGTTGCACCGAAAGGAAAATAATTACTTGGCATGATAATTACTAGAAGGGAAATGTGAGAAAGCCATTTCCTAAACTCTTGCAATACGCCCAAAATTGTTCTTACTAATTTTTGCGAAATTTTGACTGTCGAGGCAAAGAAAGTATCATTCATCACCATATTGAAACCAAAAGCCTCACTAAAAGTAACTTTCAACGCACTTTAAAACACGCCTACTACAAAACTAGTTTCGTCCACAGTATGCGATGTTCTTACTAAATGTTACTGTTAACTGTGATATTGATGCCGGCTCTGAAATTGAAAAAATTTAGAGCAGCACTGAGGAAAATGCGAACGCAACAAGCAGTTAAGAATGACGTTGCAGATTAATTTTTTAAGATGTCACTTAGCCAAACAAGTCCTGAAACGAGATGTAATTAAAAGTAATCGTGAACGAATAACGCACGTTAAAAATCAAGATATGATTCGTCAACCAAATTTGGGAACGGCGCTTTTTTGCGTGAGCGGATTCAAGCTAACATAATTGTTTAAAACCATAGGTTAACTGAAGATAAGATTGTTTCTGTCCAATAGATTTTATGCCAGATAAGTTACCTCAGTTATGATCTACTGAAATCTCCAAATCTCTTGACGTTTTCTTTAAAGCGATTTAGAGACAAATTGTCCGACTAAGTTGACTTGAAAGACAAAGTAAAATCAGAATTCCCCAATTGAGATCATAGATCATTTGTGTTAATCAAATATAAACACAGGTGCGAATGCGTAACTGTGATCAGGTATTCTTCACCGTATTAACAAAAACACACGATTGAAAAAGATGCAAACATCATTAATATTTATCCAATTGCGATAGTCTTAATAGTCAGGCAAACACAGCTTGAATAGTTTATTCAATTATGTACACAAAAATAAAAGTTAGTAATATTTGAATGGCGTAATATCTGAATCGGCAGAGAAAGTTCACGCAATGGAAGGAAATTTTCCGCCTTTTGTAGTCTTTGAGAAAGTAATGTTACATTTTTTTCGCAGAGGCTTTCGTGAATTGTAACCATGTAGAAATCCTTTCGAGCATTTGCTGGTTACATTATTTCTATTGATCGGGAAATCACCTAGCTAACATATCACTGTTAAAATGTTATTACATAAAATGATTCTAGACATTTCTCAAACTTCGAAATATAGCATAATGTTTGCTATTTTGAATATCTTTCAATTTTTATGTTTGCAGCACTGTTTTTGGATCATGTTATTTCACTTTCTGTTATTTAATTTTTACTGCACAAGCGCAAAAGAAAGACAGGTATTATTGATTTATCATGGTGTCTAACGTAACAAGTTACCTAAACAGGTTCTCATTGACACTCTGCGAAGTCAAATACGTCTTCATAGTTGTTTTGGGCCACTCAGTATTCGAGTTGATTTGCACTGCAAATCTTTTACGACGTTTATCTTCCCAGGAGAACTGACATTTTGCAAATTTACATCCATAGAAAGGGTTCCGAATTATATCGAATCCGAAGATTGCAACGACCTTTCTCGATTCAACATGGGGCAAAGTCTGTTTAGAAAATTAGTGAAAATCACAGAGCAGAGAAGGTGATAAATGAGCTCCGTAAAAAAAAAAAAAAAGAATGATTTGATAATCATTGAGTGTCAAGCTGACATGTTAAAAGTAAATAACCAAGAAATGATCAATATGAGTTGAATCAGTGAACATTTGGTTTCACACGTTCATCCAGTAGCCGTGTTTTGTCCCTTTTAGTATTTTATTCATACTTAGGAAGAATTGTCCTATTTTCTTAAAAAAGGCTCGCGACCGGTTGATGAGGTATTCCGAAACTTAGTACCATTTTACCGAAAAGGAACCAATTTTTTCACAAGTATTCGACAATTCTGTTTATATTGAAATGTAATTCGAGTACGAGTGATTGTGCATCTTCTATGATAGAGGGCCGAACCACCAATTGTCCTTATTTGACTTGCGAACAAGATTTTGAGCGCAGTTTTCGACGCCGAAATTCGCTGGCAAATTCTCAAAGCTATCTAATGACTAACACAAAACTCCGCATCAGAGCAGCCATAAGCTATTGTAGTATTTTAAGGTAAATGCTCAAGTACTGCGGGAACTGAGTTGGGCTGGCTTATAGCTAGAACAATGCAAAAGATCTCAGTTGGATAGATTCTCTCATAGGTATCTTTGTCTAAGTGGCCCTTATTTTTAAGCGCTCTTAAAAAACGTTGTAATTTACCCTCCAATTGTAATGTAGGATCGTTATCGTACGTTTCTAGCTTCACACCAACCTTCTGCAGCGGACTTAAAGAAATGTGGGATACTAAAGGATTTGAGGAAGAACAAGAACATTGTAATACTGAAGCCTGACAAAGGAAATGCTTAGTTGTCATGGACAGGAAAGCCTACGAAGAGGGTATTTTTTCCATTATCAGTGACACTTCTAAGTTTAAGGTTAATTATAACGATCCTACATTGCAAAGGGAGTTCTCAACCAGCCAGGTTTTATGGGCTACCTAAAATGCACAAGGCTCGGCAGCCTAATGAAACACCTCCTTTTCAACCCATAGTATCTTCAAGAGGTACCTACAATTACAATTTATCTAAGTTCCTTTGTAATCTTCTAGAGCCACATGTCCCGCGTGAATACAACGTCCGCGACACGTTTTCTTTTGTACATGAAATCAACCAGTTATCAACCTCAGGAATGTTCATGGTATCTTTGGATGTTGAGAGTTTGTTCACTAGTATACCTCTTGATGAATGCATTGATCTGGCGATCAGATACATTTATCAAGGTAACCCTGGTCTTAAGATAAACGCCGCTGACCTTCGCAACAGCTGAGACTGGTTTCTTGTTTAAGGGTGTGTTTTATGATAAAATAGATGGGGTTGCCATGGGGTCCCCACTTGCTCCAGTACTTGCAAACCTCTTTATGGGACATCATGAAAAAAACTGGCTAGATAACTAGTCATTCTCTGAAGTTCTGTTCTACAGACGCTATGTTGATGACACCTTTTGTTTGTTCAATAGCGAGGAGGACGCGCTCGTGTTCTTTGATTATATCAACGCCAGGCATCCTAGTATTCGTTTCACAATGGAAAAGGAAACTGATAAGTTATTATCGTTTCCAGACATATTGTTAGACAACAATCATACATCCATCGTCACTAGTGTATATCGCAAGAAGACGTTTACTGGTCTTCTTACTAATTATTTCAGCTTCGCCCCTTTGATTTACAAATTACGTTTAGTCAGAACGTTGATTGACAGAGCATATAAGATCAATAATTCCTGGGTTGGTTTTCATCTGGATGTCAAGAAACTTATTTTCTTGCTACGGAAAAATTGTTTTCCATCTTGGGTCATAGACAAGATCATTTACAGGTATCTAGCGAAGAAAAATAATCCTTCTCCTATTGGGCAGAACGCCTCTTCTAGCTCCGGTAAACCTTCTGCGCACTATTATAAACTTCCCTATGTTGGTCGGTTTTCGAACATCGCTCAGACTAAGTTAAGACAACTACTCAAACGTTATTGTAGAGCTGATTTAGATGTTAAGTTAGTCTTCAGTACGTTCAAACTCAGAAACATGTTCAGTGTGAAAGATTCAGTACCGCTAGGTCTACGTTCGCGTGTCATATATAAATTTTCATGTGGTGGCTGTAATGTCAGTTATATTGGTGAGACCACTCGCCACATTTTTACACGAGTTCGTGAGCACCTCTTGTCGGACAAAACTTCGCATATTTACAAGCACCTGCAATCATCAAGGGCCGGTCTTGACTCTTGTGTGACTGAATGTTTCACGATCTTAGATTCTGCCGCTTCAAAATACCAAATTAACATCAAAGAGGCATTGCATATTAAGTGGGAAAAACCTATCCTTAATCAGCCATTGAAACATCTAGAATTGTCTCTTTCCTTTTAATTGTGTTGTTCCTTGGTCTTTTAATTTATTTTTAATATTATTTTATTTATTTATTTATTATTTGATCTAGTCAAGCGCGCGAGTTATTTACATTATTCGCGTTTTTAACATTCAAATGTAACGTAAGCCCTGACACGTAGTTTGTAACGTACCTTAATATAAATTCAAATGTACAACAGTTAAATGCTAATTTGCAACTGAAGATGACATGAGAATGTCGAAACATGTCTTGTAAATTTAAACTCAAAGTTTTTGTTTCTTTTTTGAGAGTTATTGTCACTCTGCTGTCTTTACGTCCTCTTCACATGCGGACAAGTCATATCATTTGGTCCACAGTTCTAGAAATATATAAAATCATTGCCATCAGTTTGGTTCACGTTTAGAATGTTGACCAATTATTTCAAGAACTGTCATCGAATTCAGTTATTTTTTAATTATATGGTAATACTTGGATCGCACAAGTAAATGAAAAGCGAATATGAACTGTTTATACTCTTGGTGACTTTTATGGGTCTTTTCATAAATCAGTTGAGTTCACTCTCCGCCGGACCAGACTTGAGACCATATGTAAATTTTTTTTCCCTTTTTTTGTTTCAATTTGAAAAATGCAAATGACAAGGAAAGAAAGTATAGAGAGGAGAGAATTTGTCTCTATAAATAATCCAAACGATCGGGTTGAACGTGGTAAAAAACACTGGCTCGTATGGACAGCTGTGCTTTCATTCAGACAAAGAGTTAGCTTGGGCCTTTTTCCCACACTCGTGCTGAAGTACGATCGTCTGACATCTCGTCGAAGAATTCGAAGATTAGATAATTAGAAGGGACATGAAAGAATTCATGGCTTGACAAGGAAAAACATCTTGCAACGTATTTTGAACAAATGCTTGCATCTTTTCATTGCTTTTAACTTTTGGTTCATTTCCATCCATGAAATAGAGACGTTGTTAATATACCAGAAGTCCAACGAAGTTTTCTTCAAAAGCTTTCTCTTTCCTAAACTCTTAATTTTATAAGAAGGCTTGTGAGCCACACTCATGGCCATTTTCAGAGTAATTTAGTGTCATAACTTGACATCTATCGATGTATTGCTGGGTTGATTCTCGACGTCCTCTATAACTGGGGGGAAATTCTCCCTCCCTGACAGCAGCTTTACAACTTTTTCCAACATTTCCGTCTGGTTTTCCAGGCTGGTGTTAATCCTCTCCACTCTAAAAGAAAATGGCCAAGAATAGGAGAGTTTAGAAAAAAAAGGTATGAATAAATTAAAGAAATGGATGATAATTAACAAAATGGCTCTGTTCCCTGGGATATTTCTCGGCATCCAACAATTTCTTTTCGATTAAAGGCAACAATATCATACAAATCTTTAGAGTATCTTTCGCTTTATTGTCGATAGAAAACCAAAACTGCATTACCTCTCTACTATATATGCCTTGTGATTTGTTAAGAAAACTTCCTGCACTTTACGGATAAGTCATGATCAGATAAGGAAAAACTAAAACGCAACTAACAATTAAGTAAGAGGTGACCTCCCCATCTCGCGCTTAAGGGCGTGCACAAAAGTTTCATTACATTTTATTTGGTTTGAGTTTTCAAGGGGTGGTTGTGATGTTTATCTACCTTCTCGTTGGCTGTTTTGACACTCAATGGACGCAGTCACAAACTACCGTCACAAATCATGTGTTTGGAAACTATGGGTAAGACGCGAACAAAGCCAAAAGGAAGCGAGATTGTGCAGGTCGAGCTTTCTGATGAGACTCAGCGAATATGGATACTAGTAAAGACAGATTAAAATCAACGCTCCGTGACCGACGGGCGAGAATAAGCCATATAAAAGTTTGAAATGAGGTTAATACACAAGATGGGACTGGTAACCGAGACTAGTTCGCTCGTGTGTGCCGACTTTTAAGGCGATCCATAACTAGGTTTATCAAAAGAAAAAAGCGTAAAAGTTATACTTTTGCTCCAAAGCACCGATTCTCTGGCAGAAAGCGGAGGCCTTTTCCTCCCAGTTGCAGGGGTCATCTTCTTCCAAGGAGGAGTTATCCTTTCTCCCACTTATCAACCGACGAATGTTCTAATGATGTGAATAGATGAATAACGTAAAATTAATTTTTCAATGATTAAATAATTAATGATACAAAGAGCAAGCAGGGAAACAATTTCAGTGATTTGACCAAGTAGCAGAAAGTAAATACTTTTCTGATTATAGCAATGTTCACCTTTCTTTCGAAGATAATCTATAATTTTTAACCCCGCTCTGTGATTGGTCTACAGAACTCGTAACACGTTCCTCCTAACCAATCAGATGCAAAACTAACCACTTGGTTTTTCATGTAGCGATACAAATAGTTTGCTTGTTTTTAATTTGAGCTCTCAATGGCTCCATGTGATAATTTTTCTCTGCTGTGATTGGCTGTGGTGATTACTGATGGTGTTAGTTTTGCGACACACAATCAAAAAGCCTTCTCAATGATACTGGGGTCACAATGTAGTGTGATATGATTTACCATCAGGCCTGCATCCCATAAGTGCCTCTTTTTGTTAGGATATTTGGTGACGCTCAACTTGTGAAACCGGCGAAGAAGACATTTTGGAAGGCGTCGTTCAAATGTGTAAACGTCCTCGATCTATGAAATATAAAAGTAGAGACTAGATACATTTAAAAATATCTCTCTTTTATCAAGAAAATGATAAACTCTTGCTTTTATGTAATATAACTTTGTTAGCTAGCATGCACATTAAGTGCGAAGTGGTCACTTTTTCGAATGAAAGAAGCGAATTGTAGGTAGGCATGTGCTTCAAAAACACTTGAAAAATTCCAATGTGATATATAATAGTGAATTTTCGAATAACATCTCAAAGACGTCTGCATCTCAATGACATCTGCATAGATATGCTTCTTTCTCTGCAGTGTCATGCCAAAACAATACATGAGTACAGCAGGTCATAAGTAGGTTACCAATTTCAAGATTATGTGAATCATAATCAGTGCAGTGAGAATATGAAATTCAGATTCAAAACCGTCAGGAGCCTCACTGTTTAACAAACGGTAAACACCACAGCGTACACTATTGAGTTATGAATGCACGCGGGAGGTTGCTAAGCACGAAAGAAGCGTAAGAGTCGCTCGAGGCGATAGCCGAGAGCGACTCTAGCTTCTTGAGTGCTTAGCAAACCTCCTAAGTGCATCCATAACTCAATAGTGTACGCTGTGGTGTTTACCATTTGTTTTATAACATAACATTGATACATTGTAGCTAAAGAGTACCCTTTTATTTAACAAATCTTACGTGACCAGAAAAAACAAGCGCGCGCGGAAAAATAGTCTGTATATTTGCTCACGTCAGCAGCGTACACCCATGGGCAAATGGGGGACCCTAAATTGACCAATCAGAGCGCGCGCTTTACTTTGGTTATGTTATAAATACAGTTAGTAAATTGCGGTGGCTGTGACGCTCGACACGACTTCTTTGTCGTTTTTCTCACCTCGATCGCCAAAAGTTTCACTTCAGCATTTTTCTGAATGGATTCAATGTCACCGACAGCCAAACCAATCTGATAAGCAAGAAGATTTTTTTTTAAATCCAAAGAATTCAGTCACTAATGCTGAATCTACGTACGACCAAATATTTCAATAGTAACAAAGAGTATGATGATTGATCGAATTCTTGATTTAAAGCTGCATAATAGTTTGAGACTCACCAAAAGATTCATGAAGACAATTGGTACAAGACAACAAAATGCGGCAAAAATAAATCGCGTCAGATCGGGAAGATACAACGTATTGTCAACAAAAAAGTTACTGTATTCCAGCTCTCCAACCATCATATCCATCACTTTTAAAATCGCCAGATCTAAACGACCAAAGGGATCCTAAAGAAGATAAAATAACTTATCACTCTAATAAGTACGATTGTTATTTAACGCTGAAGTGAGCAGCACGACAGAGTGTGTTCAACTGGACGGCTTTACACTGAATTGTCTCAGCGTAATAAAATGCAATAAAAGTCCTCTTCACGAAGCAACTTTCTCTGATGGGTTCTAAAGTCATACTAAAAACCAAGAATCTCATCTGATCACTGAAATCAATATCTTGTCACAAGCTCACTGACTGCACCAAAAACTTTCGTTTTCAGCTCTCCCTCTATGTTATTTGCACAACTTTTCTTCTTTATTGGCCCCAGATTATGTTCAAATTTATACTGAAAACAACCTGACTCAGACCAAAGGATAAAAAGGGTTCTTTGAGGAAATTCTTTGACACCATCTTGAGCACCGGTGTTGTGTGTCACTTTTGGACAAGAAGGTAAAAGTTGTTGGGGTTTTGAAAACTAAGAGATGCTAGGTTGCAGAACAGGATTTGATGAGAGATCTTCATCACTCTCAATGAAAAGGGCATTATACAAATCAAACATTTCGCAAATATAAATGACTTTCAGGTTGTTACCTCGCCATTTGAGGAAAGGTGAATACCTCTTCTTGAGGCCTGAAAGTAGAGAAAAGTCTTGGAACAAATGTGTGAAATATAATGATTTTTAGTCCCGTTGATTAACAACGCCATCATTTTCTGTTGATGATGCTCTAACTTCTTAACGGGAACGAAGGCTTTAGGTGGAACAGGGTCAATGTGAGGTCAATGACAGACTCTGCATAACAATGCGATTTACCTTCATAGAGCACGACTGATATCTGTCTGCTACTGTGTTCCAATCGATGATGAAGTTAACAGCTGATATGAAGTCATAGGTAACAATGATACGAACGCAGAAAAATACGAATACGAATACATACGATACGAATGCAGAAAAATATGAATACGTCTTCATTTCTCGTTCCATGTCAGGAAGTTATACTAATTTTGATTACTAAGAAGTCAGCTTACGTTCGCTTCCTTTGATAGCAGCACGTGGAAAACCAAGGCAAATCCAAAAAGGAGAATAGAAAACACAGCACAGACCTGTGTGGGGATAAAACATTAAATAAACTAAAGCAACCTCGATAACTGAAATTTTTGTGACCGTAATAAGGATTCAACCCTCATGTTTATCGACAATCAGTAGAGATGCTCTTCCACAGGTACTAAGTTGCACAGCTGCCAAAACTTTTCCGGGTTTTCAATCACCCGTATTTCAATATCAAGAGACTGACTTTAATTTTTATTTTATCTTCTCAGCCCTGGATGGGACTCCATACAGCCCATAGCAAATTCCCTTGGACCTTCCTTTTGCAATTGGCTTTAGGATTGAGTTTGATTGGTGGAGAGAGTGGCCAATCATAGGGTGAAACCGTCTTAACCCTGAAACTCCCAGAAATGATTAACATGTAAATTCTCCATATCTGATATCCATACATTATCCAGTAAACAGGTAATGAGAATACTCAAACTCAGTTATCGGGTAGAAGTTTTTATCCTGATCTAACGCCAACTTCCTGTAACAAACTTTCAAGGAAATATGTGGCAGCTGGAGGGGAGAATTAACAATCAGATCTTGGGAGATAAAGGGTTAATATTGCATTACTTTCGGCACTCATTTGCATATTGCTCCATTTTAATATCAAAGTCTATCAAGTGAACAGTCTCGACCCAAACACAGACGCAGCTGTTGAAGAAGAAGGACTTAAGATCCATCACTATGGGTCTTATTTCCTTTGCTGCTATGAAATTTTTCTACATTACGTTTCAAGTTACACAGTATCGCTAGTTTACCATCAGGAGAGTCCTTAACACTTCAAACATCATGGTGACGTAGATACCAGCCTTAAACGAGCTGCAGATAGAGTCAAAAGTGGATGAGCTTTGAAAGCCGAGATGGCGAGAATTTTAGTACTTCATATAAGAACCTTTGAAAGCAGAAGAAAGCCATATGTTCATAAAGAACGACGAAGATAAAAAAGCCACGATAAAGGAGCCTGAGAAATAGCAACAGAAACAACTAACCAAGTGCTTAATGAAAGTCACAGCTTAGAACCTTTTGAAATACTGTAGACCCATTACAAGGACTGATCGAGTTCAAAAAGAGCTCAGATGAACGTTTCCTTTAGAATCTATCCCACAGTTTATGGGGAATTGACGGGAAAATGTTTCGAGAAAAAAAGCAAAAACCTATGTCAAAAACAGCTTCCTCATCTTTTTTTGTGGCTTGACTCCCGCCATGTCGTTATGTCTGGTTTTTCATTCCCTCTACTAAGAGCTTGATACAGGATTGAATTAAGTAATCTGAAGTCATTTTTGCCTTACCTTTGTAAATATGACATCATTGTAAGGTAAGACAGAAGAACAGCAAGGATTGCGAACGAAAATTCGAAGCGTTCATTGTGCCAAATTTTTCTACTCGCAACGGTGATAATGGCGGCGGAGAAGCTTACCAACTCTAGTATATTAGATATATCCATCCAATAACTCCATTTCTGAAATACGTAAGTACAAAATGAGATATAAGTCTATCGTGTGAGCGGCTAGGGACGAAATAAAGGAGAGCTTTCATGAAGTATACGCCGGGGACAGAGAAGGTTCACACGGGAGAACGGAAGGGAAATCGGAAGAGGAATTGGTCGTCGCCAAAAGGATATAAAGGAGGACTATAGAACATTTACAGCTGATGACAGGGAATAATATGAAATTACAATGCCAAGAGATCAAAAAACTTTTTATCGTGATACAAACAAAATATTCCGAGCCCTACTCCCGCAGGCGACAATTATAAATGATGAATGGTCCCCTAAACGGGAAATATAACGGTGACCATATTAACAAACAATACCTCGACATATATTCTGTAAATATGACTTAGCAAGGAGACACCTGATATTACTGACGTCACCATCCTTGAAACTGTAAAACCATAACTGGGACAGAACTCCTGACACAAAAAGTGACGGAAACGTCACGGTTAGCGCCATACACAGACACTGACTAGGGAGTCAGGTTAATTGGCATGGTTCAAGGAGAGGAGACACTATACAGTAGAGAGAAGGGCCAACGCTCGAAATGTCAGCTTTTTCACTCTTTACGGTGGCCAATTTACAATTTCAACTGAGTTGATATTACCAAGTTACCAAAATATCTACAGTTACGATCGATGTCATTCATTCCCTCTACTAAGTAGTCAGACAGTTATTCAGTCAATGATTCCGGCGGTCATTCACTCACTTAGTCACTCAGCCATTCTCAAGAAGAATCAATTTCTCGTCATGAAAAACATGCCCAATAAATTATGGCAGAGATATTACTTAGTTCTAATTAACCGAGCGGGAGGTCTGTATGGGAGAATCTTGACCGAGGTCGCCAGTACCGGACCGAACGCAGTGAGGTCTGTACCAGCGACCAATAACGTAGCTCCATTTTCTGCCTTTAAAAGCACACACAACCCACAATTCCTCTATTCGCTCCGACGAAGGGCTAACGCTCGAAACGTCAGCTTTTGTAATCGTTACGGTGGCCAATTTACCATTTCAACTTTGTTGATATATCCAAATTATTTCGTTACTCCCACCGACGCAGCCCCAAACAGTTTCTTTCGAAACTATCAGCCTTTATTCATTTGGAACTTAGATTGTTCAGTAGGTCTTTAGCATAACTGGCTGAAGACTGGTCCTTGAAGGGTAACACTACTCTCACAGTGTCCGATGATACATCAGGTGATGGGCAGGGCTCTTGAGATGAAATCCTTCTCTCAACGAACCGCTTGATTGTAGATTCAGCCAGTGGCTTGGGGTATTTCAAGTTATGAAAAACCCTTCTAAGGCGGTCACATTCCCCCGAGAAGAATTACCAGTTAGAAGATAATCGATAAACGCGATCCACCATGGTGTTAACTACGCTGCGCTTGTACTTAATGTCAACATGACTCTGGAAATGCAGAAGGAGACCCGTGTTGGTTCTT